GCTGAGCACGCAACTTCAACCATGAGGGTCATGCTGCAGATCTTAAGCTAAGCAGCAAATGAGAATTCAGCACTCCAGGCACTGCTGTCTTTGAAGGATTATTGTGTTTTGGAGGATTCCTATTTGCTCATCCCTAAGCATATTGCCAAAGGTGCTATCCACACAGCCCAGCATAATGCTGCTTGCCATTTCTTACGCTTTGATTAGCATCATACTCGTAAATACTGGGGACTCAAAGCTTCCACTGACACCATCCTGGGTTGTTTTTAGTAAAGTTCTGGAGAAAAAGAACAACCAACCTGCTTCCATTCGAATACCCCCACCCAATTTTCTCTGCCTTTCTGAAATATTTTAAGCCAAAATGCAATGCGCTTACTGTTAGTTGCTGTTTCTGAGCCACTCATGATAGAGAAAAAAAGATATTTTCTGTTACAAAGACTCATCACCCCATTTCCCTGCCACCCAGTCCAATAATATAAGATCACCTTGAAGCTTTCTCTAAGCTGCAGGCTTGAGCACAGCTTGAAAAAATATCATTGGATGGTAAGATTGGACTCTAAGACACTCATCTCAAACAACCCTTGGAGACATCTATGATTTGGAGTGGTTAGAGATTACTATATCTTTCTCCAAGCCTGCAACTGAAGCTCAGTCTCTAGGAGGGTGGGTGGAAATTTGGGGCAGAGGGCTCGCCATGCTGCGTGATAGTGTGGAGCAATGTCCCAGGAAGGGACACGATGAAGAGATAGCTTTCCCGAAGGCCAAGTTTTTCTGTCAAGGAGCAAAGGATGAGACTACTTCTACCCTGAGCGTGGGACAATCATAGGGATTTGCTCAGACTGGAAAAAAGAAGGGTACTTTGTGACTGCTCTCCTCCACAACCTTTATTTCAATACTTGTGTTATCTACCTAGGCGTCAACTCTTTATTATCTCAAAACTGTTCATGGGGCCTGTTGCAACTCCTGAATGTTATCACCACCTCTCCCATAAAAATCACCTACAGCTCATATTTACTCTCTAAATTGCAAATATAACTCACACCCTGCGAGTAATTTCCAGCTTGTCCAGACTGAAACAAAGCAGACCCACCCTTCTGTCTTTCCGTCCTGCCTTGCTGTGATGGCCACAACCTCCAAGAAAGATATTGAGAGCCACCAGCTGTGGCAGCCATAGGGATAACTAGGCTTTATGAAACTGCTGGGAAAGGGGGTCATGGCAGCATCTGGCAGCTCAGCCTTGCTTTACCCTATTCRTGTCTGGCACACATTACATTATGGATTGCCATGGTCTTCCAGGTTCCCTTGATGGGTTGTGTGAGGTCCCCAGCCTGCCTGGGCAGCCTGAACTCCTCTCTGCAYGAGGCTGGACTTGCAAGATTTTAAGAAGGTTAAAGAAGTTGCCTGCAGCATCTCAAAATTAGGAGCTGAACTGAGTGGGTTAAAGAATTTCAGGCAGCAAGCAAGCAGAGCTTTGAAGAAACTTTGCTGCAGCTGCAGCCAATTGAAGATCACGACATGGCAATTAGAAGACTCCGTCCTTATATACTTCTAGTAAAAAGGAGCTCTAGTGAGTGAAGATGATGTGTTTCCTTGGCCACTTGGCTGACCTGTCTCCAAAATCCCCAGATTGAGAATTTTGCTTGTGTTACACCACCAAATGTGCATCAGTTGTCTCAAAGGGAAAATGTCATCCGAGAATCATTCATAGAAGAGAACTCTACATCAGGGTTCCCAAAACATKAATTCTCCTCTCAGAAGATGCTACCTTAGACCAGCATAAATGAAAGCAGTTTTCTTCTGCAAAATTCTGGATATTTGTGTTTGCATATCCATGGCTTATTCGACCCTTTTAGAAACATATACTCCCCACAATCCTTTCACCCACACTGCCCTGTCACTGAGACACGCTACCTCTTCCACCTGTAATGCTGATTGCAAAGCACTCGCCGTAGTGTAAATAGAGTTTATCACAAGTCCCACTGAACTCTCAAGGCACACAAGAAACAGGAAAGATTGCATGGTCACTGAAAGCTACCAGGTATGGAAGTTTAACAGAACCCGCTCAGATTTTCAGAAGATTGTTCTTACAACAGCTAAAATATGCTAATATTCTAAGTCCTCAGCTTTTCACCTTGGAAATTGGAGATGTCTCAGCCTCTCTGAAAGGATTGAAAGAGGTTTTGAGTAAAGAGGTTTCGAGGGGTTTTTGAGTTGAGAAGTTTTGTGACGTATGTCAGGAAAATTTATGCCCATGTTATCGTAGTTTAGCAAAGTTATAAGCAACTACAAAATGTTCCTTGGGGAAGAAAGTGTCTTGCAACTTAATAAGGAAAACTACTTGCTCTGCCACAGCTGTGGCTGTGCTCTATCTTTATTCTTTGGATATTCAAATTCTGATCATGTCCTCCAGATCATTGCAGTGAGGTCTGTCCACATGCCAAAGCCAGTAACAAAAACGAGTAAAAGAAAGCAAAATCAGAACAAACGGGCTTCACTCTCAAGTGACAGATTTCACTGCTAATTTACTGTTCGTAGCTGAACAGCTAAGGTGAGAGCCATAAACTACCTGTGTTATTTGTCATTTTCATCTATTATCTTGATTTTCCCTCAATCTATTTGAAATTAAAATTCCCAGATAAATTGAAGATAGACAGTAAGCAAGGCAAGTTTAATCTTTGCTATGGGAGCAAGGGACTGCAAGGAAAAACAAAAACAAAAACAGCACCACCACCAAAAAGCCTTTGAACCCAAAACTTCATTGACGTACTCAGGTCACCTGGGTGCTTTGCTGGAATCCTATTATTTTTATTCACTCTGGTACTATTGTTCCGAATACAAATTGCCATTGTCAGGATAATAAATAGGAGTTTATAATGGAAATGCTGACAAACCATTAACTATGGTGTAGGGGGTTTTTAAGGGGTTTTTAATCRAAATCAACGTGCAGCATGGTTAAAATAAACCTTGGGATGATCTGCTTAAATAATGTCTTTTCAAATTAGTAATTTGAGTGTTAGCATCTTTCCTCACACACAAAGACACTTTTTGGTTGGGATGCAATTGCCCTTCATTAACCAGGTAGGGGAAAGAAATGCCTGGAAGGAGCAGAACTCAGGAGACTGAGTCAATCTACACAGTGGTGGAGAGTTTATTTTTGTACCAGTTCCTCCAGAGACTGGAAGTGTCAGACAATATATAACAGAAGGGGAAAAAAAGGAGGGGGGAGGATGGAAATAAAGACTTAAAAAAAAAAAAATAGCAAGATGCTTCATTAAAAAGAAAAGAAAATCCAGCTCACTTTGCAGGGCAGTGCTGGTAGCCCTGGCCACAGCACTGAGATGCCCAGCACCATCAGCTGTATATGAATAAATAAATATTCATGTACTGACACACCAGTGGGGAAGGACCCTCCAACACTACTGGAATTTTGACAGCAAACTTCAGGAGGAGCAGGCAGGATCCCCCACACTGCTAATTTATATTTTAGCTCTTTGGGCTTTTTAATCCCTTTTTATTGGTAAGTGCATGAAGCCAAGTGAATCACACATGGCAATGCAATTCACCTGTTAAAAATCAGAGACGCTGACAATTGCCAAGAAACAAAAAAAAATAGCCCTGCTTWTTGCCATTATCAGGCTGAAAATAGTGATGGAATTATTTCAGACCAAAGAAACCCCTTGAGTAATCTCCCTAGCTCTTCAAAGGTTGAAGTTGTTTCCAGAGGTGAGCAGTGGAAAAGCTGCAATTGCTCCTTTTATATGGGTATATTTTCCTTAATTTTAAGCTTTTAAGATCTAGGAGTGGAAAAGCTGCAATTGCTCCTTTTATATGGGTATATTTTCCTTAGTTTTAAGGTTTTAAGAGCTTGAGAACTCAGGAAACTCTTCAATACACAACGGGATAGTGCAAGCATGAGCAGGGAGATTTGCTTTTTACATCTCCATTCCTTACTCATTTGACAACTTTAATCTCTTTATCAACAAGCAGTTAGCTTGCTAGAGTTAAATTTTGCTAAGCTATCTCACCCACCATCTCATACATTTTTCCCTTGCAAAATTGGTCCACTTTCCTAATTGCTATGGCTGTGTGTGAGTGCAAAATTCCGTTCCTCTTCAGATGGCGTCCTGCTTCCCTTTGTACCTGCTACATCTTCAGGCAGGATCAGGGCTATGTCCTTCTAGGAGCTAGGGGATGGCATCCTTAGTCCCAGGGCTCTTTTTGGTGCCCAATGCTTATTTCTGCATTTTCTGGAAATGCTGTTTTTTAGAAGATATACAATGATCTGCTGATAAAAATGGCTCTCTCTCTCCATTCTTTCTGTGTCAAAGGCATAGATGGATACAATAGTCTATGAACTCCTTTTCTCAGTGTATTAGGTCAATAAAGAAGTTCAGATAATCCTGTTATAACTTAATTGTTTATACCTCTAATTGATCTGAGTGCAACCAGGACTGCAGTGATTTCTATGGAAAAGAAACTGGAACCAAGGGACAATTAGGGAAAAATATAGCTTGTTGTTGCTAGACAGGGCAGAAATACAGTTTGCTGAGCTGTGACGTATCCTCTCTGGAAAGGACCCTCTCTCATGCCAAGGACACCAGTGGCTTCTGCTGGGAAGCTGCATACGCTCACACATATAGTAAAGACCRCTCTTGGGCTGTGACTAGGTGGATGTACCATCCTGTGGAGCAGTTGCTCTCTCTTGGTTGTACAGGGAGCCTAGGCAAGAGCTTGCACACTGAGTGCCTAAGGTAGATCCCAGCAGAAGGACACAGCTGAGACACTTTCAAGGAGCCTGTCCTTCAGGTGAGCTGAGTGGCTGCTCCTGAGCAACAAGTCTCCTTGTTCAAAACTTGGGTCCCCAGCCAAAAAGTCATCCTTTGCCACCACTCACACATTTCTCCTTGCCAGAAAGCAGAAGCTGAAGCTCCTTGAAGAAGCAGAAACTCAAGCTCCTTGCCACCCTCTACCCTTGCTGCATCTGAGCTAGCAAAGCCTACCTGGCAGCCCCAGGATGGTGAAGTAGCCGCGGCACTCAGTGAAGCCTGAGCTCTCCCTGACGCATGTGCGCCACAGGCCTTGGTAGTTGAAGACGGCTGTCACTGGGTTGTTGTAGAGGTCTTGTGTGCTCCACTGGTCCATGCACGTGGACGCTATGATGCCGCTGATCCCTAAGGCAGACACCACGAAGCCCATGGACTGGCATATTGTCACAGACATGGCTGATCTCTGCTGCAGGTACAAGGCACGCACAAACCACCCCACTGATCAGGTCTGAGGCACGCGGCCAGGGCAGGAAGGACTTTTAGCCACAGGTGTCGCCTACGTCATGAACGGGAGTTCGGAGAGGTCCGGCCTGCACCGTACAAACTGACTCTGTTCCCGTTATCTGCTTCAGCGAGATAATTTTTCTCGACCGGTACCAAGAGTCGGTTGCTCCACACAGCGTGAACACCTTGCTCTCTATTTGCCTTCTCCCTCAAGGCAGAGCTGCGGCATGGGAAGAGCACCGTATGCCCCTGAAGCAGCTGGGGGAGACAGCCATGAGGGGGTTAAATCAGATGTAGCAGAAAAAAATTGCAGAGTCTAATCCTCTTTTTTTTTTCTTTCTTTCTTTTTTTTTTTTTTTTAACAGAGCAGAAACAATGCTGTCAAGCTAGCCAGGGAGGTGTACATGAGCATGCCTCTATCTGGAGGACATTTGTGAATATGTAGGACAAAGCATTTTACAAACTGCTCTCTTTCAAGCTTCAAGCCGTTGCACAGAGCCCGGTGCTGAGTGGCTCCTCATCAGGAGCATTGGGCACATTCGCAGCCCAGCCTGGCCATCTCTGAGGAGCTAGGTACCTCTTTGCAATTCCCCAGGCACGCCCGGACCAAACTACATGTTCTTGCCACCTCTCCTACCTTGGTGGGCTCAGATTGGGAACTCCCAGAAAGGGCAGCAGTCATGAACAAATGGTTAGTGTGATCAACCAAGCAGTGATAATGGGACCAGGAGGATTTATTTTACTCTCTGATCAAGTCTGTCAGACAACCTGAGGGGAAAAAGTACGTGCAAGGGTCTATCCTCATTCGCTTTCTCTCCTTCGCTCACATTTGAATTTAGACTCCATTTAGGTGAATAGCAACAGTGAGAACAAGACAGATATCGTGACAACACAGTCATTACACATAACCAYGGGACAAGAACCACTAAGAGACCCAACCTTATCCTGGAACATGACTTGTATTGAACTTGTATCTTTTTTTCTCTTTGTTCAGGGTGAACCAGATGCTGAGGAGGATGAGATTTTTCTCTACCCCTCTGCAGCATCTTTTACCTGATCGAAGATTAATTTTACCCCATTCAATCCTTCTTGGCAGGTGCACCGATACTTCCTTTTTTTGAATTCTGATCTATATTGTTCATGAAATACTGATATCAATCACAGAAAATATGATCTCATGTGTCTCATCAAAAATCTTCCTATTTAAACACCTCACTGTCATATTAAGTTTAAAAATTATTAATAATTAAAATACTATTTTTATTTTTTTTCCAAAAGAACATTTGGTTCACAGCTTCATAATTCTTTCTTGCTCCCAGGCCCTTTTTAGGCATAGTGATACCCAGTCCCAGTGACACACCTCAGCGCTCACAAGTTAGGGCTGTGATTACTTTCGGTATCGGTCAACACAGCTTAATCACAATAAGCTTTCCTGGTACCATGTAGCTAAATATAGAGTCTAAAAKGAGAGTGCAAACACACTCACTGTGTTTGTCACCATCAGGATTAGCTGGCAATGGGAAAGACTCATAGCAGCTGTGACTTTCTGGGGGAATATGTTAAGCAAAAGGGGGGGATTTTCCCTGCAGATAATCAGTCTGTGAGGCCTGAGAAACACAAGTTCACTGTATATATCTTGATCTGCAGTTGGAAAGTGCTCTATGCACGCAAAGCTACGATTCTTAGCCATTTCCTCACTCCATGTATTTCAATGACTATACCAGCTTAAGCAGTCATAAGTTTTGGATGCAGGTCTGTGGTAGTATCCTTGGCAAATAGAAATTTCACAGCTGTAACTAAAAAGATATTTTATTTGCTGACAGTGCTTTGCAGTGGAAACAATCAAGAGCTGAACTCCTTCAACCACCTACCCACAGACTTGACATGAGAGTACCACTTGCTTCCCTCGTTGAGGATTCACCAGCACCTTTAACAGCTATTTCATGTGCTTCAAGTGTAATCCTGGGTCATTCTGGAAGAATCAAACATTGGTCTCAGCTCTTCCTCTAGACTCTTGTCAGTGTGATTCCTCCTTGCTTTCCTATCAYTTAAATAAAACACCTAACCCAATTACATTTTCCATAAGAGCCAGTTCCTGGATTTTGGCTTTCTCAGAGCAGCACCCAGGAGCAGGGATTAGTCCACCCTCCCCCAGGACCTATGGCTAATTCCAGCTATTTCTGTCAAAGATGATATTTCTACATGGAAAGAGCAGCGAAGTATTGAAACAGATTGCCCAGGAAAAAGGTGGAGTCACCATCCCTGGTAGCATTCAAGAGATGTGTAGATGAGACACTTAGGGACATGTTTTAGCAGGCATAGTGTTGAAGGGTCTGCAGTTGGACTTGATCATCTGGAAGGTCTTTTACCATAATCATTTTATGAGTCTGCAATATGCTCTTCTCAGTCAGATCATCTCCCATGAAATGGATACCCCCTGGGCAAAACCTGTGTGCAGGCAAGCTGCTCCTGTTACCTGAAACCCATCCAGTTGTGCCTGCCAGCTGTTCCCATTGTCCATCCCAGATACCACAAGCACCTGAGGGAAAGATACCAGTTTGCTGAGTCCTGGCGATTCTGAAGATCTCAGCAGGTTTAGCCACCACTACAGACTCAAGCAAAGAAACGCCTTACGGGACCTTATACAGCTGTCCCAGGGCCCGCAGCCCCTTTGGGCCCTGGTGACTTCCACATCCCTTTACCAAGCTTTGCCATCCTGCTGAACTACCTTCCCCCATCACAACGGGAGTGGATTACTCCTGAATGCCAGATTTGTCCCTGCCAAGGAGGATGTCTCGAGCAACTAATTATTTTATTCATAAGCCAGCCGCGGTTTCAAAGACATCTAGTTGACCTATCTAAAGCTAAGTGAATCCCTCACCCCCAAGGAGGCCACTCTTCTTGATCCCTCTGGGGAGCAGCGGTTGGGTGGCAGAGGAGCCATTGGCAGTGGCTGGACAATGAGACACACATTGACAAAGTGTTGACATTATTGGCTGATAGGTCTGCATCAGTCACTCATTCACCAGCACAAGGTCTAAATTGCAGAACCAATTAACGGCACTAATAGTCCTTGCCTGAATTAATCTTTGAGACAAAAGAGGAGAGAAGTGGAAGAGCTATTAGCAAATCAAGCTGTACCATCCCTGCTTTATTGCGGGAATCTGAGTGTCTGTATTTGGCTATTATGAACTGACTGCAATTACAGCCCTCATTTAAAATGATTAAGTGGTTATAATTATTTTTCAATTAAAACTTAGATCTTCCATTTATACAACATTGCAGGCTTCAATTAAAGTCCTCTTGCCTTATTTTTTTTTAAGGGGAGAAAGTAACCACTGTACCAAAAGAAACCTGCATCTTTCCTACCCATTAAGAGCCAAATAACATGTGAATGCTGCGTCTGTTTATATCCCTTCTTTCAAGTGTTGTTGAACTCCTACATAATGAAGGAGATTAACTGCACTTGCAATACCTGCTAGAAGTCAATAAAAACAAGCTGGGAGGAAAAAAAAAAAAAAAAAAAGGAAAAGTAGAGTTGGTTGTAGTTGCTTCCCAGAAGCATAGTACAGCTAAGCAAAAGGTGGGTTAACTGTTTTCAGAGCTAAGCACAACAAAGTGTCATTGAGAAATGTGTTCGGATTTGGGGAGCTGGAGAGATTCAAGGTGTTTTTTGGTGGGGCAAGGAGGGGAGGGATTCTGCCAAAAGTGAACACATAGGGAAATGCAGAACTGGAGGAGGGGGGAGACTTGCAAACAAACTTAGGAAGGCTTTCCTCAGCAGTAGAGGTTATTTAAAAAAAAAAATCTGGGGAGAAGCCAAAGTCTTCATATTCAAATTTTGCAAAGTGGAAATGTTCTAGTTTTCACTGCAAAATAACATTTCTATTTCCTTATAGGAATATTGGTCCAAAAAATAATTTTCCTTTTTTTTTTTTTTTTTTTTTTTCAGTTTAGCTGCATACCTGAAAAATAGATTTTGGTGCCACTTTGCCTGTGCAAGGTTGGAGAGCTCTAAGATTGTGCTCACAAGGCCAAGAGCAAGAATGGATGCTCTGCCCAACAAGGTGCAGGTAGTAGAGCTGCCCTTTCTGTTTTAGGTTTTCCCAGTGCTGAGAGCAGTATCTGCAGCATCACACCATCAGTGTCCTCAGCGAGAGACTCGGAGGAGCAACTAGCACCAGTTTCCCCAGTCATGGCTCTACTGTCACATGTCCAAGGAGATTAGCTTCTTTCGCTAGTGTCTTCCTCAAAAATAGAGGAAAAATAGTGTCTTATTCTAATACTTTTTTTTCCTAGTTCTGTTAGTGATTGGCAATAAACTTAAATCAAGTCCCTGGAGGGAGAAGGTCCAATGTGCTCTGCACAGGACCCCAAAAGGCAGAGACTTTGGGGGTCAGAGAGGTGAGCAAGGAAGGCCAAGCAATGGCTGTGGCTGTGGGATAGCAAATACAAGCTAAGCACATGCTTAAAGTTAACTGTGTGGACAAATACATTCCTGCATAATGATGCTCACCTGGATTYGGAGCTAGCCAGGTAAGAACCAAAGCACCATCTGCACCAACAGCATTTGTATACAAATATCACTTGTCCCTCTTCTATAATCTTGCTTTTGGGCAGTATGGGGTGTATTCCTTAATCGTACGTCATGAATCATATTCTCTAATCCCTTTATCTTATTTATTGACAAACTTCAGCACCCTCCCTCCCACAGTGTATCAATGATTTTTGTAATAAATGGATGCAGACCTTTTTTGCTATACTGATAACACACTGAGATTGTGTATATAAGTACTTAAACAGAAAGCATAAAAACTGAGGTTAAGAGCAAAAGAGAACAATGGTCTTTGGCATGCATGAGATGATACGCGTATCTGGCAGCCTTCAATCAAAGAGTGCTTGTTTAAAGGTCAGTGAGTGTTTTCCATGCTTATGGATGTTGAAGGTGAG